AGGATGAGTCAACAGATTCGGAAGTGTAACCGTTGGATCTTACGAAAGAAGAGATGACTAGACGGGTAGAGACAGCATTGCAAGGCCCTCCTTGGCCTCTTCTATCATTGTTCTTTCAGAAGGAACTCGTTCACGAGTTGGAGATCATGTCAGCCACTTCATAAAATTCTGTCAAATTTAATTCCAGAGTGTTCTTTTTATTTTGATTTCCTGTTTAATTTGAAAATCTCCTATTAATTTATTTAGTACTGCATTGTATTTTATTTATAGTTGTGTCGTGTATTGCTGTATGAAAACTAGTATTGGAATTATAATCAACAACATATATACATTACCATGCTGGATGTTGTAGTATCCCATGGATTCCAGGACAAAAGGTACCTATAACTTTTATTTTTCATCTGTCAAAAATAATATTGGATTTATTATGGAAAAATCGTACCGGTGATCGCAGCAAGGGTACGGAAAATGTCAATCGGTAGCTCCTAATGTAATTTGGCATTACCATTTTGGGCTGTCATTCGGCATTGGTATGGAGGCCCAATATTTGATTTACCGTTTGAGCCTCCGGTTTACTGCTGCACCAACCGTTCGGCCCATTTTTACTTTTTCGTTTTTAAATTTTTATTTTCTTATTATTTTAACTTTAATTTGGCTTTAGACATAAATAGTCTCCATTTTTTTTTGGAAACCCTAAAAAAGCCTTTTATCTCTCTTCTTCCTGACAGTCCCCGCCTCTACCATCTTCTTCGTCCCTGTGTTTTCTCCCCTAATCTCATAAATCTCTTTTTTTGTTTTCCTCCTATTTCCATCACTTTCTTCCCCCATTTTCTTTGGATACCACTCTCAGTTTGCTTATCCAGGGAAGAAAGAAGAGATGAACGATTAATTTTATGGAAAAAGAAGACGTGAACAAATGATTTCATTTGGTTAAAATGTCAATTTTGGAACTTTAAAGTTTTTGTATAATTTTTATTTATTAATCCTTTCATATACCTTTTTGGTTTTTCAATCATAAAAAAATTTCTTTTAATTTTTCTATCAATTAATTCATTAAATTTTATTTAAATATGTACTTGTGATCTCTTTTATAATAAATCGATTATCTACCGCTGCAATCAGTTGGTACTATACTATTATATGAAATTCTTTACAAAAACAATATATTTATAATATTTTGATCAATCTAATAATTTTCAATTAAACTACTTAAATAATTCAAATTGTGAACCGGAGGTCAAAACACCTCTAGTTCAGGTTTAAACACATTGCAACAAAGCCATCATTTGCACAACTCAATTATATATCTATTTTGAGTTGAATTTTATGTAGAGAGTTGTAGATGAAATAAGTTATTAGAAGAAAAGGGTTTTAGTGACAAAATTTTGTGAAATTTTAAAATTATCATTATAATTAATTAATAACAATTGTAATACATTTTAAATATTCATCACATATAGTCAATAATTCTATTAGCAATAACTAAAAATAAAAAATTTCACATTTAATCCTTAAGATTTAATTTTTTAACTCTTTTTTAGTCTTTTTTTTTTTTTTAATAACGGTGGCACGTTAAATAACAGTTCACACCCATCTTTATTTCATATGTGGGAAATAGAATTGATAATGTGAAAATTTTAAACAGTAAAAATAATGACATGGACAATAAATATAACATAAAACTAAACAATTAATTTTATTTATTCAATCATATTAACATTACAAATTCGCCACCTTTCTTCCTCTCGCATCATCTTCGATTAGATTGTTTGGTCCCCCGTTGCCCTCTAATCAACCCACCGCAACCTAGAATTCCTTCAATTGAACTATAACAAAATGGAACCCAAATCTAGATTCTTCCTCTCCTTCTGTTTCGCTCACCATTTTAGATTCTCCAAACTAGCTTGTCTCTTCACCTAGCCCAACTCCTTCCAGTAGATTCTTCCTCTTCTGCGTCCCTTGCTACCTATATCTAGTAGAAGACATCGTTTTTCTGCACCTCCTCCGTCGTCTTCCTCGGCCGCAATGTAGCCATTGAGGCCATATAGATGACATCTGCAAGAAAACCGAAGACTTCGATCTTTTCTCCAATACCTTTTGCAGCAATCCGCATTCCCAATTTTGGGTTTCTTACTCCTATTCGCACGCCCAGATTTGGGTTCCATCAACTTGTTTCCTAAACTAGTTTGTTGGCGCAATCCAAGTTTGATGGGAGTAAATTTTGAGTTAGCAAGAGAGAGAGAGAGAGATGGATAATTGGGGGCAATTGAGGTTAAGGGGTTAGGATTTGCAGAAGGTGAAGGAATGGAAGAGGAGAGAAAACAGAGCCCTCAATTCAACTAAACGTCACAGGAGTTACAATTTCGAGCTTGATTTGCAATGGCTATGACACTCAATCTCCACCAAAAACAAACAGGTAATTCTTGGTTGGATCTCTTCTTCAATTTATTGAATTTAAACGCACTGAATCGAGCAAAGAAGACCCATATTCTTCGATTTTCAGGATTCCAGTGTAAGAATCTCTTGTGGGTTTAATCTTGACTGTGTTTGATGTCTGATCTATTGTTCATAAAATCAATTAGAAACCCATTTTTTCTTCCTTTGATTTCATATATGCTATCCATATTTGATCCTTGTTCTTGGGTTATCGATTTGAACGAAATATGGCTCTGATTTTGTATAATCAATAACTGAATGAAATTAGGATTTGCAGAAGGCAAAGGAGAGGAAGAGGAAAGAGAAAGTGAAAAAAAAAAAAAAAAAAAGAAGGAATTTATTATTATTATTTTTCTTTTGTATTAAAATGTTGTGATGCGTTGTTGTTATTGGGGATGTCGTTAATTTTTTAATGAATAGATCAAAATCAAATTAAAATTAAATTGAAATTTTAAGTATTAAATCAAAAATTTTTTTAGTTTTACAGACTAACTTAGAGATTAGTGCAATAATTAAAAAACTAAATTGTGGGTCTAACACCAACAAATTAATTACTAATCATATGGGTTTTTTTTTGGTTAAATGCTTAATTTGGTCCCTTAACTTTAAGAAATGAACATTTTTGGTCCTTCAACAATTTTTTACACTTTTTTGATCCCTCAACTATACAAAATGCACTCCGTTAGTCCTTCTGTTAATTTGAGCCGTTATCCATGCTTAGGTGGCATTTTTTATTTTTTTTTTGATGATGTGGAGAGTAAAACTTAAAAAAGGGATGACATGCATCCATGTCACATGCTACCTGGCAAAATCGTGCCAAATATGTTCAAATGGATCCCACATCACCATCTTTGCCCATCAGTTACTGTTTTTCTTCCTTCCATGTTCGATAAAACCCAGCAGATCTGGGTTCGATGTAACCCAGCAAATAGGTTCCATCGAACCCAGCTCAATTCGCCCAAAAATTCCTCAAAAAACAACAACCTGCAATTGCCCAAAAATCCCTCAAAAACAACAACCTGCAATTGCCCAAAAATCCACAACAACCTGCAATTTGAATTTGAATAATCTCTTGGCAAACAATCATATAACAAAAACAAAAAACCAATTGCCCAAAAATAACTAACAACAACCTGCAATTTGGATAATCTCGCAAACAATCATATAAACAAATAAAAAAAAAAAGTGGAGCTAGGTTCCGTCGAACCCAGCAAAAATCATATAAACAAAAAAAAAAGTGGAGCCGGGTTCCATCGAACCCAGTAGCTGGGTTCGACGGAACCCAGCACTGGGTTCGACGGAACCCAGCACTGGGTTCAATGGCCTGCGAGGAAGAAAGAGGAAGAAAAAGAGAAAGGAAGAAGACGGAAGTTCTTTTTTTTTCTTCTTTTTTTTTAATATAAATAGTGAGTTGGCATAAAAAAAAATCCACATCAACACGTTTTTAATTTATTTTTGCCACGTCATCAAAAAAATAATAAAAAATGCCACATAAGCGAGTTAACGATCGAAATTAACAGAAGGACTAACGAAGTGAATTTCTTAGAGTTGAGGGATCAAAAAAGTGCAAAAAATTGTTGAGGGACCAAAAATGTGCAACTCACTAAAGTTGAGGGACCAAATCTAGCATTTAACCAAAAGACAAAATGCCTGATGCATTTTACAGCCTTTCAACATTTTATATATTTTTCTGATAGTAAAATACTAGAACACCTATGACTACATCATAATACCAACAAACTAAACATGAAAAGAATACTTGATATTAATGCATTAATGTGACAATTAAATAAAATTAGCAACTAAATTGAAATTATTTATTTTCTTTTAATCATCAGATATATGTGCATGACAATCATCTCCTTTGTTATCCAGATCATCTAAATTTAACAGAAATTATTCATAGTCATTAACGAAGAACTAATTTTCTTTATTTGCATGATTTAAATGCTTATTTATTTTTTTTTTTAATTTAGGGGCATATTTTTTAAAATGGGACAAGTTTGAGGGCTTAGAAAAAGAACCAATGTTATATCTCCTTTCAATCACGGCAGGAAAACAGGCAAGATGGAATCATTTGCTCATGTCTTCTTTTTCCCCTAAATAAGCAAATTGAGAGTAGTATCCAAAGAAAATGGGAGAAGAAAGTCATGGAAATAGAAAAAGAAAAGAAAAGAGCCTGATGAAATTAGGGGAGAAATTAACATTTGAAGCGGTGGCTGCGATCACCGGTAGGACCTTTCCATGCCAAATCCAATATTATTTTAGATGGATAAAAAAATAAAACCTATAGGTACCTTGTTTCATGAATGTTCGAAAACAAAAAAGCTATAGGTACCGTTAGTCCTGGATTCTGTTGTTTGCTCTAGCATCACACATGATAATATATTATTATCCTAAATTCGAATACATATCTCCAAACAGCAACACACACAACCATAAACAATTCATTAAAAAAAAAAAACCGTAAATAGAATGCAATGCAGTTACTAATAAATTAACAGGAGATTTTCAAATTAAGTACGGATCGAAATGAGAGAAAGCTAGAGAAAACACTTTGAAATTAAACCTGACACAATTTCATGAACTCTGTGGTTATCTCCTACTCGAGCGGTTTCCTTCTTTTTTGGCTCCCCCAGCCGTCTTCTCATCGGTATCACGCTCCCTGATTTTTCTATAGCAAACTCCCAGGATTCAGTACTATATTCATTCACGAGAAGCAAGTGTCAAGTAATTGGTCAACAACCAAACCAAAGTGAGAAGTTGTCCGCCTTTGCTTGCTTGTTGTGCATGGACAATGGGTTGGCAATTAATAGCAGCATAGCACATTATTTCTACCCAAACTTTCCCCATTAATTCCCACGGATAACCACCGAGCTGATGTTTGAGGTTGAGGAGCTCCATGGCAAGAAGACGTGCAGCCTCTATTCTCGAAAATTTAGCCAGATATTTCTTTTTAGCAGGTTCTAACTTGTCTGCATCTTCCTTCGACATACGTAGCGTATTAGCGGTTTCATCTTCTCCTTCCAATTGCTTTTCCAGATTTTTAATGATTGATTCTTTGGATCCCTTCTCCCAATAACTTGTCCACCTCCAATCTGCTGCATCATAGTCTGTGGCAACAAAAACTAACTTCAAACTGTTAGGCGAGATGGCTGTCATAGTAGGCTCCATTACTAAAAGGTAAAACATATAATCTGAAATCAATTTGCATATTTTTGGGTGATAAAAAGGATCATTAGATGTCGAGGTAGAACTGCTGGGGCTGTTATTTGGACATTCTTTGTGGTAGCATATTTCAGTAGCTATGTGCCATATCAAGAGGCTCTCCATGTATTCAAACTTGTTGAAGGTCCAAGCCAAGTCGGCAGTTTGAGCGATGAGAATTCTAGATGGATCAAAGATTTTGGAGCGGGCCACACCAATATCCCTTTCTTTTACTGTTTTAAAAATGAACTTCCAAGCTTGCTCTTCTACAACATTTTTGAGGGACACACATCGGATTCTTCTTCTTATGGTTTCAAACCTTGTGCCAAGAAAATCAATCAACTTGTTTGGATAATCTCCATCTTTATTTTTGAAACGACAAGCAAAAATATTTAATTGGGGAACTGAGTTAGACCACCTGCTCCTATCAGTGAGTTCATTATTACCCTTTTTGATAGAGAATAGCCTCATAATAATCCAATCAAAGGACATGAATAACCAGATGGATATCAAATCCAATGCCAAAGCCCCGATCAGCAACGCATATGTCAGGTAGATGTCAAACTGCCCCGACTTATTATGGTAGTACTTCTTATGTAGTATTGAGAATGACACCAAGGCTCCCAAGATGCAACCAAAGTTAACCATACGGCACACATAACCAATCTTGGAATCAACTAGGGGCAACTTGGTATGAAGAAGCTCATACAAGACGCTTATTTGGATCTCTATGATTCGAAGCATCTCATGATGTGATCCTTTTCCTCGCATATAAACACATACGCCCTCTTGTTCTGCTCTAGTCATGGGAGGACCAACAAGTAAGCTCCTACTAGCGCCAACCGTTACTATTGCCGTCAAAAATGTCGGCCACGCGCCATGCTGCCAAGCGGTATACTCCAGTGAATAAAAAACTCGTTGAAATTGTATTGGCATGGGAGGCAATGCAGGTCCCCGCACTGATGCCCAATTACTCCCAAAATGGTCAAAGCTTGCGAGATAAAAGGCACGGTTGCGCTCAGCATATTTGATTACCCCTGCAATTAAAACTAGGAGAGTTGGCAGCCAAAGTTTGTTATCTGGGAGTGACTGAAGGATAACATAGATAGACGAACCAACTTGTAATATGAGCCCAAGCAAGTGCCTAATCCAGAATTCATTGTCCTCCAGAGAGAAGGAAGTAATGGTGTCAGGGCCACCAAGATGCAACAAAAGAAAGGGTGCCCAAAAGGCCAAGATCTCACTGCCTGCAGCAGGCAACATGAGTCCAATAGTAAATGTAGCCACCCAATCTGCAAGCAAGTATGCTATCCAGAGTGGAATCATGATGATCCCTTTCCCACCTCTTTGCTTCCTTAATGGTGCAAACAGAGTTAGGAAAGACTGCAGCAAGAAGCTTAGAATAATCAGTCCTCTGATATTCCAAGTATCCCATAGCTCCTCGATGCCATCGGCAACGAACAGTGGCATCTTCTTTAGTCTGCTTTATTTTGTTTTGCCAAAGGTTGTCCAACTTGAACCAATACACTCAGGGATGCACAATGTGTTGTTCAATCACAACGTCCTAAATTGGATATCCTACATTAACAGATAACAGACTTCGGTTTCAATCTTTTGAGACAGGAAAATTTATATGTTTAGAGAAAAAATTTTAAAAATTATACTACCTTTTATTATTATTAAATATTGCAGCAATGTAGTTGATAGATTTCCGTACAGCAACAACCCTGTACTATAATTTATTATTAAATATCATTTTCCCTTTTTCTTTGGGTATTTATTATTTAATTTGTCAGCTTCTGTTCCCTCTGGTCTCTCCCCTCTCCACCTGTTTTCTTGTTTTTCTGTTATGCCACTCCATCCGTTCCATTTTAAGCTTGGTTTGTGAGTGCTTTACATGATAATTCTTTAGATTGTACTGTATCTATAAAAATCAATTTATTATAATTAATTATTTATAAATATTCAATATATTTTTAATAATTTTAGTTAATATTTTATATATTTTTGTCATAAAAATTAAAAATAAAAATTAAAAACTGTCACAAGCTAACACTACTCCCAAACAAAGCTTTACCCTATGATTGGGTTGAGGGGAAGGGAGAGGAGAGAAATTTTTCGCCACCATTCCCCTTCTTTCCCCTCATTTAGATAAATACCTAAATTAAATAGAAAAATAAAGTAAAGGGAAATTTTCTTTCCCCTCCCCTCAACCTAAACATACTAATTGTCTCATCTTGTAACTTTGCACATATATTTAGACAATTTGGGGGTTAATTAAAGCTTCACAATTGATGTTAAAATAACACATTTATCTTTGATAAAAGTTTCAGCATTTTTATAAATACTCCTCCATCTCAAAATAACTAAAGTTATTTGATTTTGAGTTTTTCTCAAATTAATTGTCATTTTTTTCTTTTCTAGGTAGGCAAATATTTTTTCCCTACTTTAACCCTATCATTATTTATTTATTTTAATTAATTATCCTATCATGAAAATCTTACTTTATCTTTTAATTTTTTCTTAAAAATAATATAAATAAATACATAAATTGTCCTCAAAATTTTAATTTTGAGAAAAAAAATGACAATTATTTTGAGACAAAAGAAATAGACTAGAATAATAAAGAGAAAGTTTAAATTATAGTATTTAATGTCTCTTATAAAAAGTGAGAAGCAAATTAAAACACAGTAAATTGGAACAAAGGAAGTAGTATTTTTTTGTATTTCCATATTTGTGTTTCTTTTTAACTACTAAGCTCTAAAACTGCAATATATACGGTTCACTTATATGGTACTATAATTACATTGATTAATAATTGAAATGAATTTTAAATTAATAAATGCAAGAGTCATTTATAACACATTAATTTATTATAAACATACACTACTAAAATCTCAATCTTCAGCAACATGCTTCCATGTTGCTGAAAGTGCTTTCCATGTTGAAAGTCCTTCAGCAACATGGGTTTGGTTGCTAAAAGTTTGGTTGGAGAAGGCTTGGCAGGTAATACATTACCAACCAAAATGATGTTGCTAATATATCGCAACATAAGCTAGGTTGCTGAAAAAAAGAGAATCAGCAGTGTAGCTTATGTTGCTGAAAACTTTCACTAGAATCTGGTAGGAAGTGGAGGTGAATTTCCTCACCCTCTTCAGCAACATGAACCATGTTGTTAAAAATTGAGAGAAAAATGATAGGATTCCGGCACCGAAATGTAACATGATTTTTAGCAAGAAAAGCCACATTGAAAATATGGTTTTAGTAATGTGGCTTGTGTTGATAAAAGTTGGGGAAGGAGAGTGGTTTTCCACTTTTCAGCATCATATTCTTTGTTACTAATTGTATACTTTCACCAACATGGTTCAAGTTGGTAAAAAAATATAGGTGGGGAAAGTGGTCCACAACCTTTCAGCAACATAGCTCTTGTTGCTGATGTTCCTTCCAATAGTACCACCCACCTTTTCAGCAACATACTTCTTGCTAATGTTTATTCCTATGGCACCACACACCTTTACAACAACATACCTCTTGTTGGTGATGTATCAAAATACGTAATAAAAAAAATTATGCCTTTATATGATAATATATATATTACATTAATTTTATATTATCAGTATTAAATTTAATAATTTTACAATATTTAAATATAAAAT